CATCCTCATCCAGAAGCAAATCATGGACAATATGAGTCTTATTTTTCATTTTAGTGACCTCGGAAGGATGCAGGCCTGAGTCAAGCCTGATCCCTGGCTAGTATTGAACTCACAACCTTGTGGTTTATAAGTGAGTGGCTGCAGTACACATACATATTTCACTAATAGGATACCAGCGTCTGTATTGTTTGTGTAGGATCTCAGCCAGTGTTGCATACTAGTGGGCAGGGCTAGTGCCTTTCTTTCTCATATTTTTTTTTAAAAAATCCAGAAATGAAACAGATGAATAGCGCTTGGAATCAGCCCAACTGCAAGTTATTTGGGAATGTATCCTAAAACAATGCATGAGAGTTAAGAGATCTTCAGTGATCATTTGAAACAGCAACATCAGCACTGATCACTCTATCCAAGCAAAGTATTGTGATTAATATTCAATAAATAGGCATGCAGGGATATGTTGTGACTAGTATATCAAGTAAAAGCCCTTTTTATATCCTCCCATATTCTACATTGGCAACTTTGGGGGGAAGCAGACGAGAGCTTCCCAGATGCCCTGGGCCGGCGCGCCGCGGGGCCGCAGCCTCCGCACCTCGGCGCACCGGCGGCGACCCTGGAAGGAGCGCTAAATCAGCGCTCCTTCCTCAAGACAGCGAAAGTGCGCACTAACAGCGGCGGGCGCACTTTCGCTGTCTTTTCCGCCGCGGCGCGTTCGGCTGCCGCGGCGTGAGGTCTTCCCCGGAGCGCCGGCCGTGCGGAGGGCCGGCGACTCCGAGGGCGACCTCAGGGAGAGGAAGGGGCGCCGAACGTGCGGCTGCCCCTCCTCTTCCAAGCCTCCAAGACGACTCTATTAGTCGTCTGCCGAGGCCCTTAGTTACATATGCATAACTAAGTAATTTCCCCAGCCCACCTCAAGAGCCAGCAGCTGTATCGGATAAAGGAGGTCTGTTCAGCTGTCAGTCAGGGAGAAAGGAGGATGATATATCTAGCCCTCTCCCACCAGCAAGCAAGGCTTTAGCAATCAGAAGCAGGACCTGTATCAAAATATCTCATTGCAGCTTCACTCCCTAGTATGAAGGGGCAGAAAATAATCATCCTTCTTGCACCTTGATCAGAAGTTGAACAGGCCTTCTTTGCCCAATGTGGCTGCTGGCTGTTTAGGTGGGCTGGGCAGGCATTATGTAGTCTCACAGTAAGTCTAATAGCCTTACTGAATATGGAGCAGTAATGGATCCATAACTTTAGGTTACAATTATAACTGCAATATAGAATGTTAGCTGTTATTATTACTTATTTCATTCCAAGTATCTACAACCCAATACACATGATTCTAAGAGCAAACTGAAATATGGATTGGTGTAATGTAAATGGAGAAAAACTTCAGATGTTACAAAAAATTGAATATGGAATTGGCTGGTATTTCTGTGGGGTCTTCTTAAATAAAAATAAAAATCTCACATCTGCCCAGTGGTAAGTGACATGTCCCTATTCTAGAGCTTGCATATCTCACTGTGGGGAAATTTGGGTCACTATTAATGTCTTGTGAATCTTTTTAATCCCTGCCTTGCTTGCTCTGTTCTGACATCAAGGCATATTGTGGTTTTAGTTATTGCTTAAATCTTTCTGTTGAATGTAAAAACAGCTTCCAGAGTGGGATCAGTTAACAGAATTTGAAGCTAACTGTATTGTGCAGCTGGGCCA